GATCACTTTCTCTTTGGCCCCATAATCTCCTTGATCAGAAAATTTGGGACAGTACTGAGTTACGTGACGTTACAGTACAAGTTCTCATATGTCCTGAGTCTTAATTGACCTTGGAAGGCTAGGGCCAAAATGTTGGCTTTCATTGCAACCCTCCTTTTTCTCTAATTTTGGTCTGCAAGCTTAGGTTGTTAACCCTCCAGAAGAGAAGTTTATTGTTATTACCATACAACCTACGCTGTTAATCTTAACCTCACTATCTGTCTGAATATCAAACATCTTAGGCATAACATGGAACAGATATTTTTCATCAAGTATTGATATGTTGAACTTTAAGTCCCTATAGAATATGATGAAAAAAAACATTTAAAAATTAGAATATTTTAAAAATAGGCATAAAGAATTATATAATTCTTATGTTTACATTTAAGTCCAAAAATCTAACTATATACAACCTTGAAGCAGGGCGGACCCATAATATTCCTTCTCCTGTCTCCTGCCTTCATTCACCACCTCCTTCTTTTTGAACAATCATCTACCCAAGAGACAGCACAGCAGCAACTGGCATGTCATGACAAGCAGCCGATATTCAGAAGACCAGAATGACAGGCACTCCAAGCATGAAACTACTATTAGAGATTACCATCCTCAGTGCAGTTGCTTAGTTCACAGGTGTCAGTATATATAGTTAGTCAGGGAATCTTTTGAATTAACTACTAGATTCAAAAATCTTCTGGAGATTCTCAGGATCATTGCCTTGCCCATCTTCTACATATAACTGTATGGCTTGTCACTGTCATGTTTCCTAGCTCTTCTCCTTTCCCTCTCTTAGTCAGTTCTCTGAATTTTGTTTTTAAATATAGAACTCTTTTGGTGGAGCTTTTAAGGTCTTGTATGTAGTGTATCATGTCATTTTTAAACTAGAATAATATAACTTCATTTTTTCCCTACACTTGTTCCTTTTATTTCTCTCTCTTGCCTAATTGTTTTGGCTAGTGTTTCCAGAACTATATTAAATTGGAGTGGTGACAGTGGACATCCTTGTCTTGTTCCTGATATTTATTATTTTTGGTTCTGGGAGTCAAATGCAGATCCTCCTGCTTGCCAGGCAGGTGGCTGTGCTGCTGAGCCACATCCCTGGCTTGTGCCTGATTTTATAATTAAAGCTTTTGGTTTTTGACCATTCAGTATGATCTTGGCTGCTCATTTATCATAGATGGCTTTTATCAGATTGAGATAAAGACAATCTTTTCCAATTTTCTGTAGGTTCTGTTATCATGAATGAGTGTTGGACTTTGTCAAAAGATTTTCTACATCTATTGAGATGATCGTGTGATTTCGTCTTTGGCTCTGTGGATGTGTTATATTACATTTATTGATTTGCATATATTGAACCATCCCTGCATTTCTGGTATGAATCCCACTTGGTCATGTTGTATAATTTTCTTGATTTTGTGCATTCTGTTTGAGGATTTTTACATCTATGTTCATTAGGAAGATTGATCTGTAGTTCTTTATTTTTTTTTTTAATTGGTTGGGTTATTCTCTGGAGTTGATATCAGGGCAATAATTGTCTCCAAGGGTACTTGGGGAGTATTTCTTCCCTTTCAAGTTCATTAAAGATTTTGAGGAGTATTGTAATAAATATTCTCTAAATTTCTTTTTCAAATGTATTTTAGTACAGGGTCTACAGGGTCTCACTACACAGATCGGACTCGTAGTGATTCTTCTGTTTTCAGCCTCCCAAGCGCTGGATTACAGGCGCGCGCCACCACGCCCAGTCTCAGTCACAGTCTCAGCAAGCCTTGGGGGCCGGGCTGGCACAGGTCTCTAAATTTCTCATAGAGTTCCTTAGTGAATCCATCAGGACTTGGGCTTTTTTGTTATTGGTGATAAGTTTTTAATTATATTTTCAATTTCATTGATATTGGGCTATTCAGAATTTTTGTATCTTCTTGATTCAGCTTCATCAATTTATATATATCTAGGAATCTGTTCATATTTCTGTGTTTTCCATTATGTAAGAGTCAAGATTTTCAAATCAGGTATTGATCATCTTCTGAATTTCTACAGAATCTGTAGTGATTTTACCACAGATTCTTTTCTTTCCTCGTTGCATAAATTTTGGTCTCCCTCCCTTTGTTTGGATGTTTGCTAAGGGTTTATCAGTTTATTCATTCTGTTAAAGAACCAGCTCTTCAACTCATGAGTTCTTTGTATTGTTTTCTTAGTCTCAATTGCATTAATTTCTGCTCTGATCTTTATAATTTCCTCCCTTCTATGGGCTCTGGGCTTGACTCACTCTTCTTTTTCTAGAAGTTTGATGTGCAGCATTAGTTCGTTTACTTGTGCTCATTCTGTTTTCCTGAGGTTAGAATTCATTGCTATAAATATCCCTATATTTTCATTGTGTTCTGTAGGTTCTGGTATGTTGTATCTGCATTTTTGTTTAATTGCAGATATTGTTTAATTTCTCCTTTATTTTTATTTTTAAAATTTCTTCTTTAATTTCATCTGTGACTCATTAGTTGCTCAGGAGGGTGTCATTTAATCTCCATGTATTTATGGAGGTTTTGTGGTTTTTGTCAGTAATTTCCAATTTTATCCTACTATGGCCAGATAAGATACATGGGACAATTTCAGTTATTTTGCATTTACTTAAGCATGTTCTGTGGGCTAATATATGTTCTATTTTAGAGAACGTCCCATGTGCAGCTGAGAAGAATGTGTATTCTGATGTTGTTGGATGTAACACCCGGAAAACATCTGCTCAGCGCATTTGTTCACAGGTTTGGTTCAGTTGTGATATTTCCCTGCTGATTTTTTTGTCTGACTGATCTGTCTACTTTGACAGTGGGCTATTAAGATCCCCCATTACAATTGTGTTATTGCTCATTTGATTTTTTATGTCTACTAATATCCCAAGATTCGATACATACATATTTATGATGTAAGGGTTTTTTTTTGCAGATTTAAGAAGCAAAACAGTTATAGGTGACCATTGTTCTGTCATGATTCAAGCGCTTTACATCACTTTCCTTTAGCTCACCTTAATATCAG